AGAATATTGTCTTGCTTCTAATATTAAAAATGTAGTATTTTCATAAAAAAATAATCAATTAGGCACCTTGCAGATTTCTGTATAGCTTTAATTGCAAAACTAGGAGTGTCAAACTCCAGTCCTGGATAGCCACAGCCCTGCATAGTATAGCATTTTCCCATTCTCATACACACCTCCCTCAACTCATCAGCTTATCAAGAGTGCTACCGCAGGGACAGCACTAAATGTGGTTCTCTCCAAGCTTGGGGTTTGACCTTTTAGCTCTTTTCCTTAAAACTGGATCCCCTTTTAAAGTATAACTTCACCTTTCTGCAGGATATGGATGTAGACGATTCTCATTTCAATTTCAATGTTGGAGAAAGAGCAAATGAAACAGGACATATGGACAATCCTACCCACCAGGATACAAGCCTTCACCAAACAGACTTGCTAAGATGCAGCCAGATCTCATCTGCAAGCAGAAACACCAGCAAAGAAGACCATCAATCCAACCATTACCAGAACATTTCAAATGTCTCTTCCAACATAGATTTTAATTTGAATGACTCTGACATCATAGATTTCCTTCTCTCTTCTGCAACAGACAGCTCTGCTAACAACAATCAGAATTCAAATGGATCCTCTGTGGAGGAACAGGACCTGTCAAGCCTTTTTGGTCCTCACCTGGACGAAGCCATGTTTGAAGAGATCAGTCTGTTTGATCTAGCTTTGGAGAATGAATTTAGCCAGTCACAGGTTTCCCAAAATGTAGAACAGGACCAGACAGACTCTGACTCTGGACTATCCCTGGACTTCAGCCAAAGTCCTGCTTCCCCAAGTGGATCTGAATCCTCATGTTCCTCTTCATCGTCTTCTTGTTCTTCATCATCTATGTCATCTACAGAGTCAGCTCCAGAGGAGGGGGCTGTAGGATACACCCACATCAAAGAGGAACTCACTGATGAAGAAGAAGAAGGAGCTGTTGGTGGTTACAGCCCAGAGCAGCATAAGATGTGCCACACAAATTACTTGCAGCTCAGTCAGTTCCAACATTTACCCTGGCTTGAACACATCGGCCATGATCACACCTACAATCAGCCCCAATGTATCAGTCAAAGAAAGTTCTCCAAACAGCGTTCAGATGAGTCTCTGGAGCATGACATCCAGAACAAGCTTTCCAGCAGAGATGAGAAGCGAGCGCGTGCCATGAAAATTCCATTTTCCAATGACCATATAATTAACTTGCCTGTGGAGGAGTTCAATGAGCTACTGGCTAAGCACCGCCTAAGCGAGGATCAGCTCACGCTCATCAGAGACATTCGGCGGAGAGGCAAAAACAAGATGGCAGCACAAAACTGTCGGCGTAAAAAGCTGGACATCTTACTGGGCCTGGAGCGCACCGTTGATGGCCTGCGGCGTCACCGTGCCAGACTACTCAGAGAAAAGTCTGAAGTTTCACGCTCGGTCAGAGAAATGAAGCAACGCCTTAATGACCTCTACCAAGAGGTGTACAGTCTACTCAGGGAAGAGCAAGGGATGTTCTGCTCAGCCAATGACTTTGTGATGCAACAGGGCAACAGTAGCCACATGTCACTCCCCACACACTACAGTTCACAATCCAGACGGAAGTCTGGAAAGAGGCAGAAAGAGAAGGAGTGAGGAGGATGGATAATTAATATTCATTAATTATTAATTTCATTTCTGCAGGCCAGACAATGTTTTTAAAAAAAATTCAGGGGAAAAACTCTCCTTGTCACAGTGGAGTCTACTTACTCCAAAGGTTTGCTGTAATTTAGTGGGGGAAAAACACTCAAGACACGAGTTATGTGAAAAGATGGCCAGAAAACGATGCGGCCCTGGTGATAAGGAAGGCAAGTGTCAGCATTAACAGCTGTGCAGTTTAAAAAAGGCAGTCTGTGAAGGTACAAGAGATCTTTTAAGTGCCACTTTACCACAGAGCTGGTAAAATTATTGGCAAATTTAATAGTTAAAATTAAATATAAGACAATGAAGAGGAGAGACTCAGCATCACTGCATTAGAAGAACAGGAATGGAAGCCAAATTAAAAAAGGAATTGCTTTTTCCAGCAAGGGAAGTTGCAAAATCAGTATTCTAGTGTTATGATTGAAACATACAATACCTTACAGTAATGTGTGCCTCAGTTCACAAGACATGAGTGTTATGCACTGTATTTTAATCAGTTAAAACACACTACACCTTTACCTGAATAATACACAAATAGGGCCAGACTGATGCATCTGTTGAAAAAAAAATTCAGCAGATAATGCACCAATATTTAGTGGTTCATTTAGTAATAGACACATGTGATGTGAGGAAAACTTATGTTATTGAGCTAACCCAGGTGACACATCCTGCTCAGTTCTATTACAGCAATATTACAGTTATATTACAGTAATACTCTATTACAGTTTCAATACGTAAATCTGGGGAAAAAACTGAATTAAAAAATCCAAACCTAACTATCATGAAGATGTCATGTTAACACAAAGCTTTCTATGATGACTAATGATATAAGAGGTATGAGAGCTAAAGAACAAAAACCAGCAAAAATGCTAAGAATTCTGGGAAGCCCCCATGCTCCAATATATTTATGACTTCACAGTTGACAACGTACAACAAAAACAGAAACTTTGAGTGTTTAATTTTTAAACATATTAAATCGACGAAGTTACCGCTTTCAGAATTTTAGCTCCTTAAATTGGACATCATTATCAGTCACAGAATTTTCATAAGTCAGCCCTTCAATGGAAACATCTTATTATGTTAAGCTTGAGGCTTAAAGCTTGAAAGATCACTCAAATGTGTTACTTCTGGCACCTGTTGTATGATTTATGATTCTTTTTTATATATTGTCACTGTTTAAGCTATCAGAGTTCTGGTTATCAGGGAAATTGGGAAATTTACTGTAGTAATGATGGTTTTTACTTTCCTTGACATTCTTTAAGAAGCAGTCTTTAACATTAAACCTATAAACTTGTGTTTTCACAATGCACTGTACTTGTTCACATTTTATAATGCCACGTTTTCATTTTCTTATTTGTAAATATGAATTCTTGATGACAAGCTGGGATTGTGTCCTGTTTAATTAAAGATATTTATTGTCCTACATCTGTGTATTGACTATTACTAAATGCTGCAGTACATGTCCCAATATTTTCTTTTAGAGTGACAAGCGAAAACAAACTACCACCCTGAAGGGAACCAGTCATGCTGTCAAGTAGTCGTAATCAATCATCCAGCCCCCTGTATAAACGTTAGAAGTAAAAATCATGTAAAGAGCTACGTTTTCTGGAAAAGTGAACAAAAGTCTTTACGTCAAGTCAGTCAATACGCTGACTTGTGTGACGAACGAAGCCAGTGTTTATCACACACTGCCGAAAGATTGTGAAAGAGGTCAAAAAGTTCCTGGTTGCTATCAATAACCTTAACGTAGATGAAGCACAACAGTAGATGTACTGAGTAACAGTATCATGTGTTCAAGACATTTTAAGCCAGATGAATTCAAGAAAGAATCTTCTATTCTAGTCCTGGAGGGTTCAGCACATTTTGGTGATTTACCTGTTCAAACCTGGTTCAATTCATCTGTTAACAACCAGGCTGAGTCTGCCTGTTTAAGCATGGAAGCACTAACCTGTCCTGGACACTGGACCTCCAGGACTGGAAGTGAAAAGGCCTGGTTTAAAGTTCAGCATCAAGTCTAGATAGGAACAAAAGCAGTCTTTCCATGGACCAGTGGTCAAACAGTAGCGACATTGTAGAGGTAGGCTTTAGAGCAGGGGTGCACATATCTGGTCCTGGAATGCCTGATTCCACTTGTATGTTAATTGCCAGGTTTAGTAGGTGTGTTTGAGTAAGGCAGCTACCAAACTGTGGACATTGGCCCTCCAGGACTGGAGTTGTCACCCACCCCTGCTTTAGAGAGTAGCCTACTATCAATATTGCACAGGCCGTTGAGTTGGATTTTTTTTCTTCTACAATTGGCATCAAATCCAGGTTGGAAGTAGCACTGCCAAAACGTGTGAGCTACTGGAAAGAGTGCTTGATTTGATAACATTACAACATGTTTATCTCAGCAAAGTAACTACAAACACTGAGACAAATTTGTTTTGCTTTTACAAGCTGACACTATGGACACCTGTGTGCGTTTCTCTCGTGTTGGGTCTGTCCTGTCTCATCATCTCGCTCTTCTTCCACTTTTCAACTCACTCACATCTAACTTGAACTTCGGTTTAAAATTACCGTAATTGGTCCAGGTTTACTTGTTTTTTTTCCTGAAATGGCTTTGAGGGAAAAGACTGTTTTTTTCAAAGCTGTGGCATGATACAACACCTTCCACCTCTTTAAAATTAACCTAATTTGACACTTCCCATTTAGCTCACCTGCTAAAGGTGACAGTAAAAATAACTTGCAAACATAATATCCTCTATTATGTTTGTAATAATCTTTCTATAATCTAATAAAAACAGACAACACTCATAATAAAAACAGGGATTTATTTATTAAAAAAAAAAGATACCCTCAGAAACAATGACAAACATGCTTCACAAAGATAGAAAGCATCTACAAAGAGGGAAAAGACAGACATAAGATTACGGTGGCATGTAACTGAATGAAAGCACACAAAACTAGAGCGCCTCAAAAGCAGACAAACAGAAAAGATGGAGCACCACTATAAGCACTATAGTCTTGAACAGGCTACTCTCAAAGCAAACACTAAAGAAATAAACTCACCCATCTGTTTAAGAAGTTAAGCATTTTTTAAGTAGCAAGATCGATGTGTTGCTGACATCTTGTTTCCTGTAAAGCTAAAGCCTAAGTTACTGAAGTTGATCCATTAGTATGTTTTCCAGACGTTGACTCCAGTGTCAACATTTAACAAATAAGCCTTGAAGCATTTAATTAAAATCAGTCCATTTCTGAAAAGTGTTGTGAAGAGTGCAGTACATTCTGTTTAATCACTGAGGACAACCTGTACATGTGCTTTCTCCAGATGGAAAACAGAAATGGTGTCCTTATATAAATCTAGCCACCTAAAAGAAAATAATTGTCAACTGTAAAATCTCTCTGCTGCCCAATAAACAAAAAGGAAACACAATATGATTACAGGGAAAAGTAGTTTCCAATATGATTATGGGAAAAGTAGTTTCCAAAGCTCCATAGATCCATGACCTTAAATGTATTGATGAAATTCCACTGTGTGCATACATGACTAGCAGCCTTTTAAGCTTTGAAATGCAGCTAAAACAAGACAAAAATTCTACTGAAAATTCTACTACCCAATTTTTGGTACTCCAGAAAACAGCTTGGAACAGCACACCAAGAGAAACTGATTATATGGATGTTCAACATACTTCTGAGGGCTTCCTGACTGGAACTTGTGCGATCTTCATTTCTTGTTAATTTATGCTAAAGTAACTAAGGATTTTTTCACTATATAGTTGTGAGACAAAACAGAACAAAGGCCATCACTGTGTTTAAACATAAGGAAACAAAAGATTTTTCAAACAGACCTCAGATTAAGCTGGAACATCTCTGGTCAAATATTGCATTGGTGATATTTGATGCTATGAGTATTTGTATGAACAGCTTCACACTCTCTTTGAATGATGATTTAGTTGCTTCTCTGGGTCTCATACAACCGAATCTTTCTTGAAAAAGCTCCAATAAGGCCTGTAAATAGCATGTGAAACAATACAGTGGGGGCCCAGTCTTAAACCCTGATACAAACTCAACATAAAGCATATATGTATATATATCTATGTATAAAAACAGTATGAGCAGCTCAAGTGACAAACCAGACAATTAAATGGGGAAAACATTTATCTTTATGCATGAACATCAAGCGGCCCTTGCATTAGCAAAGGAAATGCGTGCAATATCAAGGTAAAAATACTAACTTTTGAGACCACCCACTCAGTATCATCTGGTACCTTGGCAGACTACAATTCCCATAATCCAACAGAAAAAAAGAAACATTAAATGAGAAGAGTTTCTGCAATTATTACACAAACATACATTTCATCTCCCTAAGGACTTCACAACTCAGAAAATTCTGCAGATGACTCCGCCCGATGACTCTGCATGGTTGTGTGTTCTCCACAGTATCAAGTGTCCAAGGTTTATGGCAAGAAAGCTAAAAAAGAGCAAACACGTTTCTGCCCAGTCTTCACACTTCTTGTTATAACTGCCATCTTGACCCCAATACCACCCACTCTCTTTTTTTTCCACCCTGACCTTTCTGACCTGCAATCTCACTTTTGCCTGTTGGTTAGTTCTTGTCATCTTTCTTCTCTTCCTCCTCAGTGGGGTATGAATGCCACGTTAGACGTTCCTCATAGAAAGAAATGACGACCTGCGGGCACTTCACGTTGGCTTCCTTTGCCGGCACAAGATCTGCCTCATCCGAATTTTTCCTGCAGGGCAAAGGTACAGAGAGACAAATCTCAAGATGTGGTTCTTTCTGGTGTATTAAACTATGTTAGCCAAATCCTTGACTGAACATGTGGCCTTCTGTGAGCAGCTTCAAATTCACATTCAAATTTGAAATGTAGACACATCCATTTGTATGCTGAAAACCCATAGTCTTGACTTTATAACACAGACTACCTAGCCTTTGCGTGTTAAAGCTTATACTGGAAATGGACAGCTCCAGGTCGACGGAGAGCACTGTGTTCCTATACTACTACAACAATAATTCAGACATAAAACTTCATGAGAAAAAGGTGACAAGTTCAGACAACAATCCTAGGAGAAATTGTTTTTGTGATTTTAACATGAAAATTCTGATGCATTCTAAGACTAAGGCTACATTCACATTTCCAGGCGGAAGTGGCACAAGTCCAATTTTTTGCCTTAATGTGACACAGATCTTTTTCAGAGCTGCGTGGACACACAAATGTCATCTTCTCAATCAGATCTGAGCCACTTACATATGTGGTCCTAAATAGGACACACATCTGATTCATGGCCATGCGACATTAATGAGAATGCTCAGATCAGATTTGTATTAAAATACTTTCACAGGCCTGATCTGGCCTGCGGGCCTTGTGTTTGACATATGTGTGTTTTAGAGCAAATTACCTTCAAGATGAAGGCTAGTTCTGCTGGTTAGTTAGTTGTTCATGACACACATGGCTCATTTATGTAACGTTTTTGATTGAGATGTGCACATGCGGGTCATTTCAGGACACAGGTCTGTTCACAATGATGACAGATTTGAGTCACTTACCTACATGAATGTGAACAATCATGTTAGAAAGATCAGATCTGAGTAAAATATCGGAATTGGAAAGGAATGTTAACATAGCCTAAAACACAATGGTAATTTCTGTGGAAATCTTTAGGCTTATGTTCACATTACCAGGCTGATGTGGCACAAATGTGACTTTTGCCTTAATGTGACACAGATCTGATTTATTCAGATGTGTGGACACTCAAGCATCTCAAATCAGATCTGAGCCACTGTCATACGTGGCCCTAGATCAAATACATATTCTATTTGCAGCCATCATTCAGTGTTAACGTGGCAGCAACATCTAACCTGAAGTAAGTGTCAGTAAACAGTGCAAAAGCAATGAATCTGAACCTTTTTAGCCTTCGTCATGCTCTAACAATGAACTGCTGAGAGCTGTTTAGAGCAAATCATCTTCGCGACAGAGGCTTGCTCTGCTGCTTGGTTTGTTGTTCATCAGATCTGATCAAGATCAGATCTGACCAAAAAAAATTAAAGTTGACAAATAAGTCTTGTAATGAGACATAGTATTAGTTCATTGAGTTAAACTACAATCCAAATATAAGCCATTTGCAAAAACTATTGTCTTCTTGGTATTTTTGATCTATCTGTTCAAAACCTGTTGCACACCATCCCGTGATCAAAAAGGTTAATTTATAAGAAATGCGGCAGACATCTGTTTTAAGAACCCACATTTATTATAAAGAGAGGACTTTCTAAAAACAATCATTTTTGTCCAACCTTTTGAGGAACGTTGTCATAGTTCTGACGGACCTTCAAAAATTTAATACTATATCTGTGAGACAGTTGAATAATAACGACTGAAATGCCACTGTGCTGTACTGTACTGTACTTTAAGGGCAATATACTACTTTTAAGTGCATGTTCACTTGGTCTTATGTCACCAGTGTTTTGTTTAGTGCATTCAAACTTTAATAATCAGGATGGCTTCATTTAGCTCGTTACAGATGGTACGTAGACTATCGTAAATAGTAGTTACATGCAAGCAATAGCTGTCTTCTCACCAACCTTCATTAGCTAACACACTTGTGCATTAGCATCCCATGATCTAGATCAGTGGTTCTCAACCCTGGTCCTGGAGAACAACCTGCCCTGCACATGTTAGTGTTTAACCTGCTCTCAACACCTCTGATTCAACTTATCAGCTAATTAACAAGCCCTTTTTTAGTTGAAGTGCGTGTGTTAGAGCAAGTAAACACAAAAATGTGCAGGACAAGGGAAGTGAAGGACCATTAGGAACCTTTGATCTACATTATCCTTACAGGCTGCGGTTGCATAAACTTTTGCATTATTCCAAATAGTTCTTTATTCTGTTGCTTGCTCACCTCTCAATCCTAAATTCCAAAAATACTGAGGTTCTATTTTTTCCCCCCTTATGACTGTAATATAATAAGATACAAACGTCCAATGACTTGGGGCACCTCAAGGACTGCACTGGGGAATCCCCCTCATGCCTGGTCAGTTAACACAGAGTTAGACACAGGTGTAAAACCACACTTGTGTCTATTTTGAATAATAATTTGAGCAGAAAGGTATTTTTACTCACCACTTCATAAGGAACATCAGTTCTCCACTAGAATCTGTGGCTCCAATAATGCGCTCAGGATCCAATCCCCGGGCAAAACCCCTGGGCTTCTCCTGCTGCAGGAAATTGAGAGGAACTTTCAAACTGCACTTCAATTGTGGGCTTATAACTCTTAAGTGTCAACTAAGCACTTCAACTGTAATTAAAGAGCCACTTCCTTTAAATCAAAGAATGCTGCTCTAACAAAATCTCAGTAAGTGGTAGAACTTCAGAACATACATTTGATTGGTTTCACAAATCTAAAAGATATTTACATAATGTGGATTAAGCCTATTATACTGTGCAAAAAGAGGCATAACGTGTGTCCATAGTGCAAGTGCATAACGTTTTACCTCATCTTTTCTCTTCTTGGGTCTGTCTTCACTGCCTGCCTCATTGTCTGACTCGCCTGCTTTCCTTTTGCCGTCTTTTTTATCCCCATCTGCAGCTTTTTTATGTGACTGTAGGTACTCTGCTATCAGATCTGGGCAGTCGAGGTTATCTTCGGGCTCCCATGTGTTGTCCTCACTGATCAGGATATGAAATCATCAACAAAAACAAGTAATTTTACCAGGGGTGTTAATCTTTTCATAAAACTGTATATCTGGACCATTCTACCAAATTACTTCAAACTGGTGTCTATATATGTGTGTATATGTTCACACACACACACACACACACACCCGGGCATATATTTTCTATATTTTTCTATATATATTAGGGGTGCGGGAAAAAAATGATTCTTAGATGCATCACTATGCAGACGTGGACGATTCTGAATCGATTCATAAATGTCATATTATTTATATTTTCTAAATATTTAATTTATAACGTTATGTTGACGGAACGCAAAGGGCGGAACTTGGAAGTGCGGAAGTGCAGCGCCCGGACAGTCTGTGGCAGCACATAACAAAAACACTACTGGTTGAGTGAGAAATCCGACCGGCTCCCTCTGCATTAAAGCCAGGTTAGATCAGGAGTCACAACACAAATGAAGAAGAGCCATTTTGTCCTTTCAACAAAAATCAAACCAGCTTGGGAGCCGCAACATTTATGTCCAGTATGTGATAATGTGCTAGTTTAGGCTAAAAAATATAAACGAAAATGCGGACTTACTCTGCTCTGCTTTAAACTTTAGCTATAGCCGCTTTTCTTCCAACTCCACCAGAAAACTTTTCCTCAAAAGTTGAATAGTTAAAATGTCTCTCAGCGTTCCGCTGTTTTACGAGGCTGAAGTCGCTTTTCACTCGCCAGCTTCTTGCTGAACTTCCCCGTTCCACCTTAAATTCTGACTGAGGCGCAGAATGTAAAAGCGGCGCCATTTAAGGTGGAACTTCATCTTCATCTTCACAACTTGTTAGTTAGTGTTTGACAGTTTCTCGTTGCAGATTTAACGTACCAGGAAACCAACTGCGCTGCTTATAAATGCGTCCGTTCGTGTCCAAATGTTCGTCTTTCTCTCTCTTTTCCTTTTTCTTTCGCTACTAGACAGGCGAAACCTTGTTGCTAGGTGACCTGCAGTCTTTCACCCCCATCTATCACGAGACCAAAACCGAAGTTATGAAATCCCTAAAGAATATATAATGTGCTGCGTGGACATCGATTACCCTTGGATCTTATTTCACCGTAACAGCGCATTTTATCACAGATGAGTGGCAAACAAGAGCAGTTAATGAGAGCCTTCCAGTTCACTTGCCACATCACTTCCATTTGTTTTATTAATAAAAGATATTGGACGTAAATGCATTATGGATCATTACAAATACTTTGTTTTAAAACTACAAAGTTCTCAGACAGTAAGAAAGTAGAAATCATGTACAGAAAAAAAAGATGCATCGAGATGCATCAATAATCATTTTATAATCGCATCGCAGCCCTCTGAATAGTAATCGAAACGTGAGGTGCCTAGAGATTCCCACCCCTAATATATATATATATATATTTTAGTCACACCCCTGAATTTTAAAGCAGGAAGTGAGACTGCATCCCTGTCCTTTACGGGGTGGCCTTTACCCATGGTGAGCAGTTAGTTCCCATTGTTTTGAAGTAAATGTGTTTTAAAGTCTGAAAATCAGTGAGTAACATTCAGAACTGTCACTACCGAAACACACAATTCTGCGATTAAGAAAACTTTACAAACTGATCTTACCTTTGCTTACATTAGCTTTGCTAATTTCAATTTACATAAAGCTCCTTTCCATTTACATAAATTATACTTTGTTTTCTTTTTGTTACTGAAATGTTGTTATTTAAGCTCTCTCACTAAAGAACATATTTTGAGGCTATAATGCAAAATCTTATTTTGTCACAAAGGAAACACTGAATCACTAAACTGAAGGGCAGGTTACAGCAATGTTCAGCTAAAGTTCAGAAGCAAATAGTGACCAATGCAGGGGATGACCTTTCACCCAGCATGCTTCTACTGCACTCACTCTGTGAAGCCTTTCCATTTGAGCAAGTACTCAACCCTGCCCTTCACCACCCGTCTGTCCAGAACTTTCTCCACCACATATTCGTCCTCTTCCTCCTCCACCACCTCCTCCACCTTCTTCTTGCTCTGTTTCTTGCCTCCGACGGCCGCCAGCTTGTCTGTTTGAGGGGGTTCTATAAGAGGGAAAACAATGTGTATATGGTTAAAAAGTTCTTATTTTTTTAAATTTCAACAGTTGGAAAAAAAAAAAATGGTGCAGCTTAGAATTGAGGAAAGCACAGAGCAAACACAAACTGATGATGCATCTCTGGTGGGTTTCAAGCAAAAAGCAAGTAATGAAATTCAGGGGTGAATGATCCACAGGAGCAACACTCCTCCAACAATCAAAGCAATCTCCAATACTGTCCACTTAATGAAAGTGGCAATATTTAACAAAATTTTCTCCTTACCCTAAATGTAGCTCATTGGCCAGGACATATCTGTTGTCTATTGACTTGCTTTTGTGGTTTCAGGCACCGTATCATAACAATATGGTAATCTATTCAAATGACTTATGGTTTATAAACATGAGTTTGTCACTGTGTAAGAAGCTACATAAGCAAGTCTGTTTGATTTTACTTACCAACAACACTACCATTCAAAAGTTTAGTATCACTTGCCATATTAGCAAAATTTTGTTCTTTTATGTAGAAATATCGATTATACAATGTGTATTTAAATATTACAACCTATTCATAAAAGACTCAATACATCTAATAATATATGTAAAAATAATTAGTATGCTGTAATAATTCAGATTTGCCTTGAGATTTGATCTCCACTTATGAAATGATATATTCAAAGTATTCATAGGAATATATAAAGGAAAATTATGCAAATATGACTTTTTGCAGAACTATACCTTTATACGCAGTATGAGCATTAGAACACTCACCTTAATAAAGGAAGCTAAATTGCTTAATTATGCTTAATTATGTATATCAGCAAATTCACTCAAACTGTAATAATAGGCATTATTTGGTCAAAAATTGAGCTTATGGTCAAAAGTCCTTTGAATTACACTTTAAACTGAATTCTTGCAAAAACTCCTGAATTGTAGGCATTATGTCACATGGTATTTTTCACCTGATTATGTGAGTCATTAAGACTTTTTGAGGATTGCAAAGCTGTTTCAAACTAACCGTATCAATTCACAGAGCATGAGAATCACGTTGTTGTGCAGTTTAAATGCAGGGTGTTAAAAGCTCTCTATGTACCCTCATAACACCATTTCATCAAGCCCGTCTAAATGGTTCTTTTTCGTTATAGTTTAGAGCAAATAATCAGTCTGAATTTGAAATGTCAGTGCAACAGCAAAATCACACAAGTTTAAACAAGCAAGACTTACTGCAGGCCTCAAATGTGTCCAGCACTTAAATACGAGAATAGCATATCTATTTTTACTTGAAGATCCCACCTTCCTCTCCATCGTATGACTAATATGTAATCTGTTAGAAAATATCAGCTGTGTAAAACTCCCCTTGTGTTCATTCCAGAACAGGAAAAAGACTAAAGCAAACCTAACATAACCCCAGCACTGAAGAGATTTCCACACACCAAGGAAAGAACAGAGTGCAGAGGATGATGAAGGAATACTAATCAAGATTTTCCTAGAAGTTTCTTTGCTGTGTTTCAATTCTATTAAGACAATCAAATCAAAAGCAAAACATTTAATGACACTCAGTTACTCCAGCTTTTGATTTATAGATAGATAAATGGATAGACAGATATATAAACAGATAGACAGATAGATAGTAACAACATAGTATATAGTACTTGTATCTAACTGTATCACAGCCTATCAACTGTACTATATCTTTGTATCATTGCGAGCATGTTTGTGGCTACAGCATTAGATTGGGACACTATAAAGCACAACTATTACACTAAACACTAAAATACTAATATAGGGCAGATTTTCAGCCACTCCTCATTTTTGCTATCCAAAAATGTACTGAATTAAGACACCTCTGTATTGTATCAAATTGAATAGTGCATTTTGTTCATTGTTAAATCTCCAACAGAAGGACGGACAGACAGATAGATCAACAGATAGATGCGAACGTGGAAAAGGAAGAATGAAATAAGTCCCAGAGTCTCATACTGGCCTAGATTAATTCTTAAATTAATCCTTCTAATACAAAATTTTAGGTGTGTGAACTGGCAAGACAGCAAATTCAGCTCAAACAATTACAAGCAACCGCGTTAAACTTTGGAAAATCCTAGGAATCTCTTCTTTAGTTCATCTTTAGGCCTTGTATACACAATACCCCCAACAGCAACGCATTGCCCAGCTCCTTTTTCACCACCAGTCAACAACGAAGCCCAAATTAGCCGACAGCATGATCACAACATGGAAATAAAAAACAGCTGAAATGGGATTTGGAATAGGAACAACCAGACAGAAGCCATGAACTAATTGTGAACTGTGAAAATCGTCATTCTATGCACAGCACCAACTGTGGCTGCTCACTTAATGACCTAATTAATGAACTGACATATCATCACTAAACACTGGCCATTTGCACCAATGCTGGGAAATTTTAACCGCAAGCAATCAAAACCAGTGCAGTATGCAATTTACTGTGCAGCCCTATGTGAAACTAACACCCTGTACCCAAAACACACTGCAAACAAAGACAACACAGTGAATAAGAAAATTAGCATAGTAGAAAGTTATGAGACACCTGAGGGGGCACTGGTGGTGTCTGTTGGTTGGCTCATGTTCGTCGAGTAGATTCTGCGGAACCTTCCGGTTCCTTGTCAACGTCAAAAGAGCTGAACAGAGTGAAAGTGCAGATTAGGGGGGGAGGGGGGAGGATCAGGGTTCATGAATCAAATGATAACAGGGAGAGAATAACAAGGCAGGAAAAAAATGTCATTGATAACATTACATTGCATTATCACTAATATCATGAGCACAGTGTATCGTATTATATTGTCAGTCTTTCACACAGTTTAATTGCTAACTCGCCACAGACAATGTGGACACTTCTTTAATGAGCAGAGCTTTTATCTGAACGAACATTTTAACCAATCACACTTCTGAAAAACAATTCATTTTAAACAAGGCAGCAAAACTGTAACACTTATTTAGACAAAGGAGTGAACCGGTAGCCAACACAATACTCAGAATAGACATTTCATGACTAAAGCCATTAAAACGAAAAACAACCAAAAGACAATAAGTTATAATACTAATTTTTAACAATCATACTAAATGAGTCCTAAACATCATTGAACCGAGGAAGATACAATTATCTACACACATTTTTAAGCACAATCCTGCATTTTGGCAGGATACTGAAGCTGACGTGTGCTGGTTAATCCATCTCTAGGTTATTCGGCAAGACACCTTTCACTTGAGACACTTTCACTATCGAGAAGCTCTACGGTCATACACAGTGTAATTCTTCAACAGTGACTGATCAGCAAAGTAAAACGGTGAAAACCATCAGCTCTCATGCTAGAAATTTCCTTTGCGGGAACAATCTGATGAAAAAAAAAGTTGTGGGGTGAAAACTGGAAATCCCCACAGAATACCCAAAAACTGCAGCCTGAACAGAACCACTGTGTTTGAGGAAATTGTAATGACTGCAAACATTGAAGTACTACACGGGTAGGTTACCTATTTAAGAGTTGTGAAGGAAAGGACACATTAGCCTCCTTTTTCACAGTCACACATAAGCCAGAGCTAATCGCTACTCAATAGTCACCTCGAAGGGTTTAGCAAGGCTTATACATGTTGTATCTCTATCTCTCTCTCTCTAAATTTCATCAAGCCAAAAGAGACATAAGGCCAGGAGTTATGAGTACCTAATCTAAAAAGCAGTCAAGCAATTTATAAACCATGACAAAAGTACTTCTTAGGAGAGAACACAGCAGGTATACACAGGCGCAGCAGTTCACTAAGCGAGACCAAATCACTCCTACTAGGACCAGACAAATCATCACACAGACTACTAATCACAGTTTGGCCTCTGCAATGAGTTAACAGTAAAAGGCAGCAATTAATGTACTTCACTCAGGAGTACACTTGCTGCATCACAATTAAATATATTTGGTAACAACCAACTCATCAAATGATGCACTAACAAATCCTGTGAACTTTTAATGTGTGTGTCCTTTGAGTGCAGTGATAGGAGGCATGTTTTGAAAAATCACAGGCATTCACACCACCTGACAAATTGCAGGTCTTTCACCAGCAGATACTCTGCCTATTTATGGAAACGCATAATCAGTTTTAATAGCAATTAATTATAACAATCACATTTTGCACAGTAGAGTAATTCTGACTCCCAGTAAGAGCCATCCTACCTCCTAATTAAACAGTTCTCAGATTTCCTGTTAAAAATGCTGTTTATGTGGCCCTTTTTCTATCAGCTATATAGTGGACACACATAAATATTACTTTATTTTACTGATTACTAGAGCTTTCATTACCTTCCTCCAGAACACCAAAGATAACAGACGATGTTTCAGTCTGGTCAAAAATTCCATCAGCATGATGTGCTGCACCTGATAATGCAATGTGCAACTGCTCAATGTATTAGGGTTAAACAGTACGTATTTGTTTCATTGTTGTTACCTTCAAACTGTATCTAACTATTACAGCGATATATGGTATTACTAGGAAGGAGAAGGGGGGGGCTGTAAAAACATTGTAAGTGACGGAAAAGAATTTATGCCCCTTTTGTGCCATCGTCTTGTATTATTTCAATATTTCACAATTGAAAATCAAAAAAAGTTTAGTTTGTTTACATGGTTACCAAATGAGTGATCATACTGCACAATTTTCATGCCACGGTTCAATAAATGTCAAACTCTCTATCTAACAATTGCTCAACATTAAACAGTGCTGCTAACTAGGAAAGAGGAGCTGGTTAGCACTAACTTGGCTAGCAACGTTAACATCTCTGCTCACCAGAGAACATGTTCGCCTCTGGCTAACAAAAACAGCGACACAAATTTAGATTCAAATATGAGCGAGTTAAGTCAAGCAACTGGCGATGGAATAGAAATTTGACGTTCTAATTCTGAAATACAGTCATTATTTTAAAATACCTGCGTCACTTTTAAATACCACCTTACAACTTACTACCATTGTATCTCCTAACTACATGGTATTTACTGGAACAGTACATTGTATGCTGGTACCGTGTGCCATTTCAAACAAAGTCTATGGCAGACTAGGTCACTGCTCTTCTCTCAAGGAGTAAGGGGACTGTACTTGAATGTGTGTGTTTGTCTTATGTGAATGCAAAGACAGTGTAAACATTTTATGCGTGGTTTATACGACTAGTGAGGTGTGAAACCAGCAGAAAAGTGTTAAATTCTACAGGCATAAACTTACTGCTCAATCTATAAGGTCAGAACTGCACCACCGGCTAGAGAACAACTCTTAACCATAAATTATACTTTTAAAATGATTAATTCTGACATTTGTGCAACCCTACATTTTAAACCTTTTTTAAAAGTCAAGCAATTGTAGAACTATCCTTTGGAAAGTTGTAAGGTGACTTCTGACTTCTCATCTAATTTCGCTCCACTGTCAATAGACCGATTCAAAAGAGCACCTCTGTAAAGAAAAATTAACCCTGGATTTATGAAAACACGTTTCTATTAGCTTTGCAAAGAACTAATCCTTTCAGCAAATAAATGAAAAAGGTGCCAGCTTCAGCAATGGAACAACCCTTAAAACACATACAGGGCATAGTCCAAACACACAATTTGGTGTCTTATGTTCCAGCCATAGAAGTAAAATTACTACACAATAAAAAAGTAACCAAAATAACTTCAAAATCATTCACTAATCTTTATTATCTCCAAACGTGTGTTTCTTTTGCAGCATCACTACAACATGCAACCCACACATTCCAACAGCAAGTATTTTAGTAGTGATGGTACAAATGAGTGACACCGTCTCATACGTTTTGTCTGTTGTGTTGTCTGGTGTTCGCTTTCTCCAAACAGAATTACTCACACCTCTGTTGCTTATGCACACAATAATACTGTGTTTTATTACTGCGTATAACCTGATCGAAAATTAACTGCTGGAAACTAAAGCTTTTATTTTTTTTTGTCAATATCATTTCAGGAAAGAGAGAGACAGAGGGAGTGAGAGAGAGGGGGGGAGGGAGAGTGAGAGAGAAAGAAATATGAGTGGGGGGAGACACTTTTTTGGTACTATGACCCAGATTTGTCCGATATTTGAAACTGTTATTTTTGCTGATGCATTTACTGAACTCTAAGAGAAATCAACGCTTTCGTGATGAGTTATCACACTAAAAAGTCTGCATTTTACATATATATGGCTTTAGCTAACAGAAAGTACTGGCAATGTTGGCTCACAAAATTTGTCTAATAAAAAACAGCTAATAAAAATTGGCTATCAGCTGTAAAGAAATTGGAAAATTGGAAAAAATGGAACTTTTAACCAAATGTTCTTAATAGTTAAAATTGCATTGTTACGTGTAAAACTTAATCCTTACTAGTTCTTAGCTCTGATTTAGAACCAAGTCCTGGAGCTTTCTATTTCTACATGAAGTACTGAATTAACACATGTAACTACTCAATTTCCACTAGTTAGAAATGAAAACGAACATGCAATATTATTTCAGCATGTCATCCTTTATTTTTGCTCCTCCTGTTAATTTAAGTCAGCAATTCTGATGTTTACATGTTAAGTTTCATTGTCAAAATTTAGAAAAAAACTGTTTGTACAAAAGCTAATAAACTTCTGACATCAATAATCGCCGGACTAAAAACTGACATAACCACTGCCATAATCTTAAACCACTTAGGAGTTTCTACCATCAGCAAGAACGTGGCTTCCGGTGCAATAACACACTGCTAAAACACTGAAGACGACGAAGTCTTAAAGCTGCTAAAAAACGCAACAATTTGGCTTCAGTACGAATTCACACCGTGTAAAATACGATAAAGCGCAATTGTCTGTCGTCTATATCTGCAAAAAAAAAAAACAGCTCACTGCTCGAAAACGAGCATGGCTGCAGGAGGCATTCTTTCCTTTTTATAGCGGAGTGAGCTAAACCTACTAGCTACATTACGTTACTTCTAGCCCTGCGGCGAGTTAGCTAACGTTAGCTAGACAATAAAACAGGGTAACCGTGATTACAAACTTTCAAATGGTACAAATAATTGCTGCTGTGTACTTTCAGCGATATTTTAAGGAATTCGCCGTGTAAAGGCCACGTTGTCACAAACATAAAGAGAGCTAGTGAGCCGGTCCGTAGTGCTAGCAGGCTACACGCATCGTCTTTGGCTTGCTAGCTATACACGCCTGCTTCTCCATGTTGACCTGGATCGGAGCTGAAAAGTATGGACACGAACTGAAAGACCTTTTACAAATATTTCTGGAACAACAGATTTTTTGCTTCAACCAGTGGATATTTACCATCTGAAAAATGTGCAGTCCACATTTCGCTGCCATGCAGTAAAAGGTTATCACTTTCCTGGCGCGATGTTGTTCCAAAACACTACTCAGCCTTTAACAGCACAGAGTGGGACTTACCTTTAGATTAATAAAATAACGACGCAGCAACACCCAAACGAGTGTTCAAATAGTTCGTCTAAAAGTGCAGCAAGAAGTCTGAAATGATCTGCGAAAAAGTAGGTTTTGCACAATGTTTTTGTAGATCTAGTCTCCGTAATGTTAGTCACTCAGACAAAAGATACACAGAGCCTTTGCGACCCGCCAATTCTGACCGAGCGTGCTTACGCTGATGAATATGGAATCATGGGAGTTGTCGTTTTTGCTGTGTTCCAAGCCGCAACGACTTTAAAGCGAGACTGGCAAAAATGAAAAAAAAATGCAACGCTTGATACATGCCAACTCGCCCTTTTACAGCGGGGCCACAGAGTTTCCCTAGTCTAAAGACTTGGGAAACTCTCTTCTGATGTTTTTCTTTCGAAAGTGGTTAAATTTTGACAGACTACGAGTGCTTTGGTGTGGATTTTTGGGAATAGCTGTTTGAAACTTTTTTGCTAGCTGGGTAATTCTTCAACCAAATTGTTCATTTAAGTAAAAAAAGAAAAATGTTTAATGACCACTTTAGGTTAGTGCTATGTTATTAAAGCAAGCTAGTATATATATATATATATATATATACACACACACACACACAAATATATATATATACATACATATATATATATATATATATATATATATATATATATATATATATATATATATATATATATGTATGTATATATATATATTTGTGTGTGTGTGTGTATATATATATATATACATATTCCACACAAAGATATGCAATATGTTTATCGTCTCCCCGAATGAACTGTTGTATCCACAGTCAGCTGAGCTGACTGACCTTGGAAGTGAAAACAGAGCTGACCAAATAATTCAAATAGGTCAAGAAAGCAGATGCTAGACAGCAGAATTAGACTGTTTAAGGTAAACTGGAAATTACCTTTGGTTTCTCACCTTAAAGGAATGGTTTGTCAAAAAACCTTAAACAATTTACACATTGTCCCCCTTTTTTCAAATATTGTCAACAGGTCAAGACATGCTTGGAATGTGTAGTTTGCATCTTTAGTTTTGCACTGCAGCTACAATGCTAATGTAGCTAAAAAGTAATGGAAGTCTATGTCACAAAAAATAGACTTTACAATGTAACTAGACTTTATAATGGGAAAAATGTTGTGTATCAAAAAAATATGAGCTGCTAATAAATGGAGTAACTGACTGTGTGGCAAGGAACTTACTGTCAAATTGCATGAAAACTGTACTGCAGACAACTCACACCATGCAAATAGTTGTGTCAAAGATTCACCAGGTAAAGCCAGCCTAATATTTATTTCCAGTAGAAAACTTTCAGCTCTTTTGATGTCTTTTAGGGGTACATTTTTAAAGAGTGCACATGATGGAAAACTGAATGTTCCTTTTCTTTCCTCTTCAGTTGATGTAGCATGTAAATAGTTTAAAAACATATTCACATCCCCCTCCATATAGTCCATATATGGAAACTAAGTTGTAAAAGAACAACCCATTTTTGAATTAACTTGTTTTTGCAATGTCACAAAAAACAACACATTTACATGCCTATTTAGCCTATAGGTGTGCAGCTCTGCCCTTTCACATTGAAGTTACAAGAAGTGTTTCAGGCCAGACTAAATGAGACACAAAACAGGGCAGCCAGTCAGAATGAGGATCATTTACATATTTCACTCTTTAAGGCATAGTAACAAAAAACAGAAACAACAGTTTAATTCTACAAAAAGAGTGGGAAAAGGTCATGAAAAAAAAACTATGAATTATGACTTTTTTGATACATAAAACAAACAAACAAAAAAAATGTAAAGAGTGACCTTAAGGGAAAACAAAAATCAATACAAGAACAATGCAGGCTATCTTTATTGTCTGTATTGCTATGGAGACCAGCAGTCTGCACGCTAATACTTAGGGTTAAAAAGTGAATTAGCAGTTATACATTAAGTCCAGTGTTTAAGACAATTTATTGTCAAAACTGTGTTTGAACGATCAGCAGAGCTTTATTTACTGCAAAAGAGGAATATTTTTACCTGAAAATCTAATTCTGCATACATACAGGGCAGTAAAAGAGCCACATGTTGCCGACCCCTGTTCTATGGTATTATGCAAAAAAACCTTTTTGGCATCTTTAGTTTTAAGAGTGATTTTCACACAGTTGCAGATTTAAAATAACAATGATATATATCCTATCACATATTCTTCATTTAATATGTAATGTGTGGGTAGTGAGACAAGCCTGTGTAACTCAAATGAATCCAATTTGATCCCCCTGTTGAAGCCAGGAGGAGGAAGTAGGAAGGTCTGTATGCTTGGTACACTTTGATGAGGACCTTTTGAAGTCTGAAGGATGAAAGAACTCGACTGATTAATGCCTTGGTCCAGATAAGACTGCTGGTTAATAAAAATCCCCGTAAGGAAGTTTTCAATTTTAATGCGGCCTACGCAATCTGGCTTCTGAAACACATCCATACTGTGCCTCCTAAAAGTATTTAGACATTTGTGCCATTCTTAAAAATGTATTAACATAACTGTGTTAGGAAATAAAATGTGAGGCCAAGAGGAATTCATTTTAAACAGACTATTCCAAGACCGCACTGCAGTTTCTTTGCAGACTTCTGCATCCAGAATGCTTCTGTGCACTTCTGAGTTCATGAGTTCATTACTGAACACAAGCTCAGCAACACCACTGCACTCTCAGAAATGTATTAACTGTCACTGGGGCAGTACCCCTCTTATCATTGGGGTGGTACCTTCAAGGGTACATCTTAGTACCTTCAGTCAGGGAACATAATTGTACCATAACCCATTGAAATTATATTGTCTAAGTTTTGACTCCACACACCCCGTCTCATCTCCAGCCTTTTATTTTCTTGTTCTGTTTTAAAATGTTAGATCATGAAAAGATAAAAATACTTTCACCTAAAAAATATTTAAGGTACACAATTGGACCTTAAACCACTGTTGTACCTTTGAGAAAACATTTACATTGTTTGTACCTTAATGAATGAAAAATGTACCTGCACAGTACCTTTAATTCTAACAGTGTGTAAGACATTTCCTTCTTCTGTGCAGCAATCTTGGATTTTCAGTATAGGTGTCCTTTGCTTTACTTACTGCTTCCATTCCTTAAAGAAAACTGTAGGAAGTTTAATCTTAGAAGATGGTTACATTTTCTGCTTGTCGAATTCAAGTAATCTCAATAACAAATTTGAATTATCAGCCAATAAAACCTTATTTCACATTTCAGATGTCAAGTTTTTTGTGTTCTAGTACAAATGCTCTTCTTTTTCTCAATAAGGGCTTTTCTACTGCTACACATCCTTTCAGACCCATAGTGTGACATAGTGACAGTTTTGGTGGTTTCATGGATTTTAGGATTTTCTCTATATCTATATACAGGGTTGGGCAACATACTTTGAAAAAGTAGTGATGGTCAAATATTGGATACACTGTACTAAATGTATTCAGTAATGTATTCTGCATTCAGAATACATTTTGAATACATTTATGATACATCTTTGTAAGACACATGAAAAAAAAAAAAAGAATTAAATTAATTCATACTGTTCCTCCCTGTTAGTGGCTGGCACTGTTCTTCATGTAATTATTCTGTTAATATGTTTTATGTAAAACTCCTTATCATCAACTTTTTCCCCTTACTGTCTGCTTTAGTCCACTACTGCTCCCACAGTCCCCCTGAGCAGGAGTCCAGTAAAACACAGATGCTAATCACTTGCAAACATGTACTGAGGAGGTTATTAGTTTGATCATTTCTTTAAAAAAGCATCAATAACTGGTTCATCACGTGGGTTTATCAGTCTACTCAGGCTTTAGTAGGAATATCAGTGTTTGTAAAGAGGTCCTTGATCGAGGTCTTCTTAAGAATTTGTCTAACAGACATGTTTGCTACATGTTCACGGATACTAAAATAGTTTCTAAATAAGTATTGCTGGTGTTTCTTTTGAATATTATATGTTTTTAGAAGTATTCTCCTAAAAATGTAAAAGGTAACTGTATTCTGAATATTGCCTTTACAAAATGTAACTAAGACCGAATACAAATATTTCTGTATTCTAAATATGTATTCGCAATACTTGTATTCCATCACATCCTAACCCTATGGTATACATCTGTAATTTTTTGAACTCCAGTTTCGGGAACTCCTGTATTTTCCTTTGACTTTCTACTTCTTTATGCAAATGGATTATTTTATATCTAACATCCTCATAATTATCTCTAAAGAATGAACAACTTTTAGATAATGACTGTTTTATTTGAACATCAACATTATATACATTTTGAGGAGTCATTTTGACATCCAGGTGTGTGCACACACACCCACACACACACACACGGTATGCATCACAGAATGCTTACTGTCTGCTCTGTATGTGTGCTAGGGTCTCCTATATGAGAGGGGAGGGGTAAAAACAATGTGTTCTGCTTCATTAGCCCCTCGTAGCCCTTTTGATGCAGAGCATCATTTCTCACACTCAGCCCAGTCAATTAGCACCAACTCGAAGGTGACTTTGGGGAGAACTTTTGAGAGAACGGCTCTTCTTCTCTGACTTTATGGGGAAAAAGTTCTAAACAACATTTATCTCAAACACTAATAATTTAGAGAAATGTTGGACTGAAGATTCAGAAGAAGTGATAACTGAAATGTCTGGTTTTGACTCATCTTGGAAGAAAAATTCATGATCAACACTATTAACAAACAATCATAGGACAACTCTGGAGACCAGCTGAGTTGTACAATACTGATCTGGAGATATCTGAAATCAGGAGGCGAGTTAGACGCTTGATTGATAGTCATAAAATGAAGTAATAAACCAAGAGGGTATGTATGTTACAGTGATTTTATCACAGTTAAAATAAAATACACCAATGTTCAGTATAAAAATTGATTTGTCATTAAATCATCACTGTTTAAAGAAAAACAAGTATCTCCAAAACAGAAATGTTTTAGGAGAGAGCAAAAACATTCTTTACTTTCAATGTAGGTTAAGGTAAAGAGTTTTTATTCAAAGCAATTTTGGAGCTTTTCTATTGATACAATCATCATGAAATTTGCTGAGCTGCTCAGCTACTGGGACAGCAGCAAAATAATAATCAAATAAACAGTTCTTTCAACAAGCACTGCAGTTTGATGTCAAAGGTTATTCCATGAACAACACAATGCTTTCCTAATAAC